TGATTTCTAATTTTTTCCAAATTTCATTGGGAAGCATGAAATTTGACTGCAGTAATACAGGCTTACTTATATTTAGCATGGCATTTAAGCCTTTGTTTGAATTTGAGAGTAGAAAGCTTATTATTGATACCTATAATAATAGCTTTTAGAATATTTAATCTAGTTGTAAGCTCTTATTAATATTTACCTGATTGCATAGGTCTTTAGAAATATTTTGAGCCAACTTATTAAGAAAATTAGCTTAGTTAGATTATGTTTTTTACAATTTACAGGATATCTATTATCCATTTTTTTTTATTTCTATAACTCCAATTATTAAAACATAAGAGAATTAAATATAGGCTTGAAGGTAAAAAAACCTTGTTTTTCCTGCATACAAAGTTAGATATGGGGCCATTTGTAAGATGGAGAAAATGAGGCAACAATTAAATGCCAGAGATCTTTTTTGAATATCATCTTTCTTGAAAGTTAGAAAATTACCAAAGAAAATTTCAGGGGTCATAGAGAAAAGAGAATGGATTTTGTCCATAAATATAGTAAATATGGAGACAGATATAAACCTGAAATAAATATAGTGGCTGGGGTTGGTTGTAGCTCAGTGGCAGAGCACTCACCTAGCATGTGTGAGGTGCTGGGTTCAATCCTGAGCACCACATAAAAATAAAGGCATTCTGTCCATCTACAACTACATATATATATATATATATATATATATATATATATTTATGATATATGCATGATATACACATGATATATATATGCTCCAAATTATCATCAAATAAGAAATGACTGTTATAAATCCAAATGTGAGTTATTAATCTTTCTAGTGTAATATTAGTTTGCCAGGATTTAATTTGGCCTTCATTATATGGCTGTAAATAATACAGGAAGTAATCTAAATAATATGGATTTTTATAGTGTATCTAATCTCATTTTTTTATTCTGAAAATAGTTTTAGATAACTCGATTATATTTCTAGTTTCTTAGATCTTTTACTAAATGATCCAAATTAAAACACAGTTGTTCGCAAATTTCTTTTAAAAAGTAAAAGTGGAACACATTTAGTGGTAGTTCTTCTACATTAAGTCCTCCTGACTTTGGACTTTCTGTAGGAAGAGGTATCATGATATAACCCTTTTATCAATTTTTTGAAGTCAATTCAAAACATATTTATCACCTCTGTACTGGCAAAGCATTGTACACTTCATTCATTTAGGAAAGATGCCAAAATCTATTGCAGAATGATTAGGGCAGTAATATTGGTGGATATTCTATGGAAATAACTGGCTTGTTATGGGAAAATTCCATTTCAATAATCATTCCGTTTTAATAACTGTCAAATATAACCCTAAATCCTAAGGACCAGTATAATTGGATAGTCTAGGTTCTTCCTATGTTGTCCTTTCCTCAGAAGTTGCCTTTCAATAGCCAGTATATTTATTATGGGACCAACATATACTTAGGTTCCTACTCTAGCCAGTATACTTAAATCCAGTCACATGGATGGGTATAATATGAGTATCTGCAAAACCACCCATCATATGAGTATCATCAGTAAACACTGGGATGGATTCTCCAGTCCACATTGCTAGGTACATTAAAGGTGGACTTGGGGAATGGGTCCATAGAAGTCAAGGCATGCATAGCTAAAAACACTGTAGTTGGAGATTTACCTTCCTGTGTCAAGTTTTTCAGCCGTTTCCAAGATGACAGTTTTAGAGTCTATCCTTTGAAATCTGATTTATCCTATTGTTCCATGTGTTGCTCAGCAACAGTAAGACTTTTGGTGTCATGACTTAAAGAAATTTTTAAGAATTTTATGAGATTTGCAGGACATGTAGGGTTCTGTTTTCCCTCTTTTTTATTTAAAATTGAAGAAAAAGTTGATATATGCTAGAGTATCATTAGTCTTAAATTGTAAATAGTGGCCTAGTATAGTCCTATGAACCTAACTTTAAATGATCTTGGATGGGTACTTTAATGAAGTGAGAGGCAGAGTTTTACCTTATGAAAGGTGGCATCTATAAAGGTATAGAAGACATAAATAGACATCCTTTTTAGAATAAAATATATATACATGTTTAGTGAGCATAGGAAAAAATATTTATTACTAATAATGAGAAATGAAATAAAAGAATTAATAGTCTTTTACTTACCAATTTAGAAAAAATTTTTATTATCTTTAAGTCTAATGTTGATCTAAGTTTGGGGAATCAGTACTTTAAATATTGATTGGTAAAAGTGAATCAGTACTATTGCTTGGGATAGTGATTTAATAAATTATTTAGAAAAATTTAGAATTGACCCAGCAATGATATCTCAAGGGACTTATGGCGAAACAATTTTTATGTACAAAGATACAGCTGTGTGAATATCTTTATAATTTTGATTTTAAAGTAGTAAGATTAAGTGTTTAACATAGGTTTTGATAAAGAAACAATATGATAAAAAATTGGTATTAAAAGTAACATTGTAAGTTTGATGAATGAATAAACGTTAGCACTTGTGGTTGGAAATACTGACTTGACCTAGAATTATTCAATCAAATAAAACCAATGTCTAATAAAAAAAAAAAAAAGTAACATTGTAAAAGAGCATTAACAATGTACAATTTAAAATGATTTTATAAGTTTTGAAAATATCAATATGATCCTATTTTTATATAAAATATGTATAGAAAACAGTTTAGAAGGCTATGTATTAGGTTTTTTTTGTGTTAGATATTACAGTAGTTATCTATGGACAGTAGAATGTTATGAGATTTTTATATATACCCCTTAATTTCTAACAATGGGTCCCTTGGCAAAAGTTAGATAAAGTGTTTTAATCTTGTAATTAATTTCAGTTTCTCATTTGAGTATCAGTTTATAAACTTTGGTATGTAATCCTTTGGGTCAATAAAAACTAGTTGACCCATTTTAATGTTATATCTAGAATATGAAATGGACAAATTAAGAGAACCTTTAAACCCTTCTTGAGAGAAGATGTTAAAACATTTTTATATCTTATAATGTTACCCTTTAAATAAGCTAGTGTCTCTCCATTGTCTTTTAAAAATATAGCTAAACCTACTTCCCACTGTATAGAGTAACATATAAGCTCTATAATATATTTATATAATTATACAAAATCATATATTTAGGAAATAGAGAGACAATTGATATATAAGAATTAGTAACAATTATTTTAATTATATTGATGTTTTTAAATCAATTAAATTTAGCTTTTAAAGAGAAGTTTGAAATTTGGAATTTAGATGGCATTAGAAAATATTTTTTATTTAAGTAGAAATGTATGAATCTTAATTTCTTAAAAATTAGCCCTTTTTTAAGTAATAAAACTTACCACACATAAATTATTGTTCTATTGGAACAAAAGTAGATTAATGCTTTAATAAGTTCTTATCATCTCAATGTATAGGTTAAAATTTTGGTTTATATTAGCACAACAATGTTTGCTCTAAGGGGAAAGCCTCAAATGTTTTTAATTGATGGGTAAAAATGAGTCAGTAGTATTGCTTGGCCAATGATTTAATGAATTATTCCATATATTTATAACCAATTTAGTTACAGACAAACTTGTTCTCTATTTACGCAAATCTTCTATATTACTTACTTAGACCTTTTATGTATAATCATATTAAAGCCTTCAATACAATAAAGACCTTTTTATCCAGAGATGTTTTCTTTCTTCCTTCTAGGACTCTCCAGTTTTTCTTTCTTCTCTGTAGAAGCTCTTTCTTTCTAGAATTTTTCTTTTTGGTTACATTTTGAAACAATTCCTGTAAATCTTTGAATCTAGATAATTATATTTTAATAAGAAGAAATATTTCAATGGAAATGTATCCAAAGCTTTGGGACCCTTTGTACATATATCTGGTTTACCACTTTATGAAAACATAAACAAGAGTTAGGCGTTAAGATTACTTGATGTTAATATCTTAACTTTATAAGTCAATATATATCTCTTGAAATAGGCATTTATATAATGAATTACATTTACCCTGAATTTATTTTAAACAGTAAAAGGCAGAGCATCAAATATACATAATAATAAGTTATGTATTTCCTGTTGAAGAAAAACAGTTAAGAGCAAATAAATACATGTTAATTACCCTATAAATTAAAAATCTTTTAGATTATTTAATCAGCTGGAAAATGTATTAAGAATGAAGACATAATTTATTTTTATTTAATCAGCCATTTTAAATTGAATTTTATTAAATCACATGACTTAAACGTATTTGGATCCATTTTTATTTTACTTTAAGTATTATAAGTATACTCTTTTATCTATGTAAATTTTGACATTATGTAATGTAGTTAAAGTAGAATTTTTGTGCATATACATATTTAATACTTGTGGTGACATTTAGAAATCAGAAGAATAAAAATTTTGGCCATTATGAGAACGTTGTGAGATTAAATATTTCAGATTGCCATTATTTTGTAATGGTCAAATTTACATTTAGTATCCCTAAAAAAGAAAAACAGTGTGTGAGAAAACATAAGTAGAACATCTTTTGTTAACGCAATAATTTTTTGCAATTCTTTAGTAGTGTGACAGTCAAGAAAAAGGGCAATTCCTTGGAGAAACCTGTTATAGAACTATAGATTAGTTTATTTAACTCAGCATTGGGAAAGAATTCAGAACAAGGCTGCTATTAAAGATGCAGGAATTTGTTGTTTTGGATTTTGCCTGTTAAATTTTTCTTCCCACCCCCACCCCCTCACCCCCACCCCGGTTAGCAAGTATTTATTTGCCAACATGAAAGAAAATTTTGCCGCTGGGCATTCCTCTTTAAGGAACAGAGACATTCCTTAAATGTTGGGGGAGGGGTGCGGGTATTTACTTTGGGCTTGTTGGGGGGGGGGGGGGGGGGGGGCCCAATCCGGCCCCAAATTCCTGAGCGCCGAGGGCACTGGCTTTCGCTGCCGGATCTGGGCTCCCAGACTTTACACCTAGAGTTCCAGTCGGGCCTGAGCTGCCTTGAGGGAGCATCTGGGGCTCCAGAGGGCTGTATCCTCAGGAGGTGTCCAGTCTTGCTGGTTCAGCAAGCTTGATAAGCATGAAGCTTCTGTCTTTGGTGGTCTTGGTCGGGGGTTTGCTGGTGCCCCCAGCTCAAGCCAACAAGAGTTCTGAAGATATCCGGTGCAAATGCATCTGTCCACCTTATAGAAACATCAGTGGGCACATTTACAACCAGAATGTATCTCAGAAGGACTGCAACTGCCTGCACGTGGTGGAGCCCATGCCCGTGCCTGGCCATGGAGGCCTAGTGCCTGCTATGTGAGTGCAAGTAGTCTACCTGTCCGTGGTGGGGGCCCTTTTGCTGTACATGGCCTTCCTGATGCTGGTGGACCCTCTGATTGGAAAACCAGATGCTTACACTGAACAACTGCACAATGAAGAGAAGAATGAGGATGCTCTGTCCCTGGCAGGTCCCTGGCAGCCGCTGCTGCATCCCTCGCACCCCCAAACACCGTCCTAGAGCTGTGGAGGGTGCTCAGCAGCGGTGGAAGCTGCAGGTGCAGGAGCAGCGAAAGACAGTTTTTCATCCGCACAAAATGCTCAGCTAGAGGGGCAGCTCGGTCAGGTCAAGGACCCAGGCTGTGGCTGCCAAATTCCAGAGCTGCAAGGAGCCGGGGGCCACTTTCCATTTTGCCTCAGCCAATCTTCCCTGGATCTTCCCTGTAAAGAAAGGCTCATGGCATTTTCCTGTCTCCCTGTTTGGAAATGTTGTACCCCACCGTTTTAATTAGGGACTGTGATGGGTCTCTGATCTCTTGTGTCTCGGATCTTTGGGATAGAGGGGGAGGGGAAAGGAAGTCCAGAAAGGAATGAAGATTATCCAAGGTGGCCTCAGGGTTGGGCGGCATCTGTCCCTTCTGGCTCCACATCTTGGGGATGTCATTGCCCTTTGCAAGATGAAGCTGTGTCATCAAGAACTCAAAGTGTTTGGGTGGGAGCAGGGCCCAGCATTCGGCAAGTGCTCCTGTCTGCAGCGGCTCTTCCTCCCACCTCCCTTCCAGCCCCTGTACCTCTGCCCAAGTCTAGCCAGTGCCACTGAGCTTATGGAGGTCTTCAGGGCACTCTGGGAGCTTGGCTCCTTCTCCCTGGCCTCCTTGTCCCGGATGCATGGCGGTGCCCGTGCATCCTGCCTGCTCTGCAGCCTGCCTCCCCACTCCACACCAGGAGTCCAGGCAGGCTCTCAGCCCTCCCCAGTGTCTGCAGTTGTTGAGCCGGACAGTGGACTTTAATACCAAAACTCCTATCCTTGGATTGCCAGTTGTCCCTGAATTTCATTGTCCCAGTGCATGGAGAGAAACTTTGTCCCTCTGTTGTCTTAGAGTTGTCTGTACATCAAGGAAGCCATCATTAAATTGTTTTATTTCTAAAAAAAAAAGAAAAGAAAACAGGGCAAAGCTGGAGGGCGTGGCTAGAAGGTCTGCCCCAGCAATGATGGGAGGAACTGAAAGAAATCCCAAGTATGGCAAGCAGAGCTTGCCATGTCGCTGCTGCATGGCCCTTCTGTGCATTCCAAGTGACCCGAAATCCCGCCTGCAGCCTGGGGGTCCCAACCCTGGGCACCGTTCTGTCTTGAGTGTTTTTCATGTTTGTCCATCTTAAGTTAGAATATTGGCAGTCCTGTCTGGAACCCGCCAGGCTGAGGACAGCCACATTAGCCCAAGTCCCACCAGGCCAAGAGCTGCAGCAGCCATGGTCCTGCACTAGTCACTCTGGGCCCTAGAAATCACAGTTCGCCCCCAGAGCTTCCCCAGCTGCTTGCATTCTGCCTGCTCTGGGAGCTGCTGCCCTTATGGTTATGTCCATCTCGGGTGCTACTATGAGGGATCTTCCTAATAGAGCAGAGATATTGTGTGATCTATTGTCGCGGAAGAGCTATGGATAGTTCGAAACGCCAAATCTAAATCTCCCTGGCTACCATGGCGAGAGAAGACCCTCAAGTAATTCACGGATGGCTTCCTGCACATAAGAAAATAAAAAACTAAGTTTGGAGTGATTATTATTCTTCAAGAGACACTAGGAATACCAAGCCTACAAAAGTTTGATACTAAACATTTCCCTGCTAAGATGTTTTTCCTGCCTCTTTCTAGGAATTTACTATAACTAGTACATTGATGAGCAATGCAATCTCTGTACACTAGACTATTTCCTTAAATTTGAGTGGCATTTCTGGATCAATAAGAACATGTATTTAACAGATATATATTTACATTGTCAAACTTATCCAAAGCAGCTTAACCAGTTTTCACCAATCACTTTTTGAGTGGCCAATTCAACTCTATCAGTGATATATTTTTTTGTCATAAAGGCTCAAGTAATAATGTATGCAACAGGTACTACACCATTATTCTGTGATTTGACTTTTTTTCCCTCTTAATGTCTGAGAAATCTTTTCCTGTCAGTTCATACAAATGAAACCCATCAAAATATTAACTGATTTGGCCGGGCATGGTGGCCCATTCCTGTAATCCCAACCACTCAGGAAGCTAAGGAAGGAGGATTACAAATTCAAGGACAGCCTCAGGCACTTAGCAAGGCTCTAAGCTACTCAGAAAGACCCCATCTTTCTGTGGCTCAGTGTTAAGTGTCCCTGGGTTCAGTCCCTGGTACTCACCCCCCAAAATAAAAACCTGACTTAATGATAAATAGCACGGTAGTACAAAGAATGCAGGTATCTTAATAAAACCACTGCCCTGAAAACAAGCATTACAACAACTCCAACTTTTCAAAAGAAAAGTAAAAATACTTTGGAGGGGTGGGTAACGGGGATTCAACTCAGGGTCACTAGGCCATTGAGCCACATCCCAAGCCTATTTTGTATTTTATTTAGACACAGGATCTCAATGAGTTGCTTAGCACCTTGCTTTTGCTGAGGCTGGCTTTAAACCTGCAATCCTCCTATCTCAGGCTTCTGAACCGCTGGGATTACATGTGTGCGCCACCACGTCCAGCTACCATCTTTAGTTTTTATTAGATATTACTAAGTAGAAAGAAATGTTAAGTTAAAGGGCAAAGTGGGTAAGTCAAGCTATGCTTCTCACCACCAAGCACATTATTCACAATTCCTTCAATAATATGTAAATATACCAAAGTTCTTGTACCCTTAAAAGCACAAGATAGTTTCACTGATTTTCGCCAAACAGGTGCTCCCAAATCTGATTCACAGATCACTATATTTGGCCATTTCTTTTTATTTTAACCATTTATATTTCTTTCTTGATAACTGCACAATAGTTTCCAAGACCACATCTCTGCTAGGATTTGTCTCACATATTTTTTTTTTATTTTTTTTGTAGTTGTAGATGGACAGAATACCTTTATTTTATTTTTATGTGGTGCTGAGGCTCAAACCAAGTGCCTTGCAGATGCTAGGCAAGCGCTCTGCCGCTGAACTACAGCCTCAGCCCTGTCTCACATATTTTTAAGCTCTCTCTAATATCTGTTAAACATGTAGTGGTAATACTTTCCCCATTTCTGACTCTTTGTGTTTTAATATTGTGAAGTCTCTGGTCATGAACAGCTTTTAGTGTTTATGTAAAATATATCTTTTGTTTGATTTTTATAGCTTCTAAATTTTCTGTTTTAGAAAACTATATTAAGCCAGATGTGGTGGCACATGCCTATAATTCCAATAACTTGGGAGGCTGAGGCAGGAAGCTTGCAAGTTTTGCAAGGTCCTATTCAGAGCTCTACCCCATTTTTTTCAACTGGTACACAGTATTCTTTTGTAACTATTCCCATGTTGATAGATACTTAGATTCCAAATACTTCATTCCTGCAAACCACATTACAATGAACATCCTCACAAGTAACTTCTCCCAGAGGAACACAGAATATTTTTTCAAATATGTAATTTATTGAATGTCTCCTCTAATGATAGGAAGGAATAAACCACTCCTGCATGAGTTACCACACTAACATTAGACTGCTCTTTCTTGATTATGAATTTTCTTATGTTGTTTAAGGGCTGAACTCGTTCCTTCATTCATTACATTTGTAAGGTTTTTTTCTGGTATGCAGCCTCTGATGCTCAATAAGACCTGAGTGGTGCCAAAACAACTTCCTACACTTCTTATATTGATAGGATTTTTCTCCAGTATGAATTTTCTGATGTCCAGGAAGGGTGAGGTCTTCATGAAAGCTCTCCTAGTCTTTACACTGATAGGGTTTATTTCCACTATGAGTCTTTTGATGATAAATCAAAGATGAGCGGTACCTGAAAGATTTCCCTCATTGATTACAGTGATAGGGTTTCTCTCCTATATGCATTCTTCGATGATTATTAAGAGCTGAGCTCTTCCAAAAAGCTTTTCCACATTCATTACACATATATGGTTTCTCACCAGTATGGATTCTTTGGTGTTGCAATATAGTTGATCTATCCCTGAAAGCTTTTCCACATGAATTACATTTAAAAGGTTTCTCTCCACTATGTATTCTTTTGTGCTGTGTAAGGGATGAATTCTGAGCGAAGACTTTCCCACAGATTTCACATTTGTAGGGTTTCTGGCCAGTGTGAACTCTCTGATGACTTAAAAGGATAGAATTCTTTCTGAAAGCTTTTCCACATTCATTGCATTTATGGGATTTTTCTCTAGATTCATTCTTCTGATGGTTAATAAATGTTGATGGCTTCTTGAAGAATTTCCCACATTTACTACATCTATAAGGTGGACTGCCCAAATGAATTTGATGATGATTTAAAAGAGATGAACTGCTCATAAAAGCTATCCCACATTCTTTACATTTATATGGTTTCTCATGAGTGTGGTTTCTCTGGTGGCTAATAAAGGAGGTGTTATATTTGAAGACTTTCCCACATTCCTTGCATTTATAGGATTTCTTCTCTGTGGAGTTTCTGCTCTCCCAATCCAGGCCTCTTTCCAACATGAGAGTTTTTGCTTGCTCTCCAAGAACAGATCCTTCAGAAGGATTTTGCCTTAGGGCTGACATCTTTGTTTTAGGCCAATACTCTTGGACTGAAAGAAAATTTTAAGAATTCAAATGTCCTCTTTATTAGCAAACTGAAAATGAGAGTAATGTTCTATTCTGCATGACTAAGAGATAAGTAAATTATCAATGTGTCTCATTTGTGATTCTTGCTGAGACGGCAAGAGTAATGACAGGAGAAGTAGGATTCAGGAAGAAATAGAAGAACTTTAAACATGTATATAGAGAATGCAATGAGCACCTAAGAGGTTGATAAAAAAATAACACAGAAAACAGCAGAGGGGAGGGGAGGGGAGGGGAGGGGAGGGAAAGGAAGAAAAAGAATGTGAGAGGGGCTGGGGTTGTGGCTCAGGGGTACAGCGCTCACCTAGGACATGCAAGGTGCTGGGTTTGATCCTCAGCACCACATAAAAAGAAATAAAATAAAGGTATTTTGTCCAACTAGAACTAAAAAGTGGCTGGGATTGTGGGTCAGCAGTAGAGCGTTCACCTAGTACATGTGAGGCCCTGGGTTCAATCCTCAGCACCACATATAAAAAATAAATTAAATAAAAGGTATTATGTAAAAAAAAAAAAAATGTGAGGATAAATGCAAATTTGGGAGGAAAACCAAGTGCACAAAGCAAGCCATGATAACTAAACTCTTGTCAGTAGGATATTTGAGAACTTGAAAATTACATTTCTCTGAGAATTCAACAATATGCCAAATTTACTGTCTTGGAGGACAAAAAAATTAAGGAAACAAAACAGTTCTCAGGCCAAGAATTTATTATAACAATCTAAATTTCTAACATGAGGTGAACTATGTAATTTTCCTCTAGCTGCTTACAGTTAACAGACCAACAGAAACTAAGCAAAATGATTTTGACAAGAATGTTTTTAAAAAACTAATGCAGCCAAACTTGTGAAATCAACAATCACTGACCAATTCTTTTACTGAATGCATTGGGGAGTGAGGGGGAATACTGGAGATTGAACGGAGGGAATAACTGAGCTATATCCCAGCTATTTTTATTTATTTTTTGAGATAGCATCTCAATAAATTTCTTAGGGTCTCATTAAATTGCTGAGGCTAGCCTCAAACTTGCCATCCTCCTGTCTCAGCCTCACAAATCACCGGGATTACAGGCGTGTGCCACTGTGCCTGGCATGAAAACAAATTTTTCTTACAAAATAATATAGATAAATAGATATTGTATTTGTATATATTATACCTATAGATATTATGTCCACTATATACCCTTACTTGTATTTATATGTTTATTACTCTAGAGAAAAATTATATACATCATATACTAACACTAAGACTTATTTTTCAAGGAAATGTAAGTTGAAGGTAAACCTCGGTAAGAAAAAAATCCAGCTCTGTGATGATATATACATTTTTTTTTTTTTAAAGAGAGAGAGAGAATTTTTAATATTTATTTTATTTTATTTTTTTTTTTGGCGGACACAACATCTTTGTTTGTATGTGGTGCTGAGGATCGAACCCGGGCCGCACGCATGCCAGGCAAGCGCGCTACTGCTTGAGCCACATCCCCAGCCCCCTATACATTTAATGTGTAATGATTTAACTAGAGAAATTTCCAAGGTACTAATTGCAGAATAGGTGAAGTTAAATTAGTTATATGAAGAGAAAGATACACACATGAACACTTTGTGACAAAGGTAGCACACAAATTGATGAGGAAAAGGAAACTCTTCATTAACACATTTTTGGGGAGAAATAGTAAACATGAAATCTATTCCATACAATGCACAAAAATCCTTTCTAAAAGAATGATAAATCTAAATGTAAAATACAAACTATAGGGCTGGGGTTTGGGCTCAGTGGTAGCCTAGCACATATGAAGCACTGGGTTCAAGCCTCAGCACTGCATAAAAATAAATCAATAAAATAAAAATAAAGGTATTCTGTCCATCTACAGCTAAAAAAAATACATATTAAAAAAAAGACAAACTATAAAGTTTCTAAAAATCACATAGTATAATTCCTTCATGAACATGGGGAAAGGAAATAAAAACAGGAAGAACACAAAAATAATAAATATTGTTTTAAAAAAGCAGACACCAAAAAAAAAAAAAAAATCAATGACAAAAAAGGGAATGAATGATAAACTGGGAAAATTTTCTATTCATCACAAGTCCATCAACTGTAAAAGTACAAACCAGAGAGAGGGATGATACCACACACGTAATCAAAAATGGGTATTTGGGAACTAGGGTTGGGACTCAGTGGTAGAGCGCTTATCTAGCATATATGAGGCACTGCATTCAATTCTCAGTACCACATAAAGATAAAAATAAAGGTATTATGTCCATCTACAGCTAAAAAATATTTTTTTAAAAATTAAAAATGGGCATTTTGACAGCATACTACAGTGATGTGGCCATATCAATGTTTCTAGCAACTCAATTCAGAATAGCTAAGCTATAGAATCAACCTAAGTGCCCTTCAACAGATGAATGGATAAAGAAAATATGGTACATATATACAGTGGAATATTATTCACCCTTAAAGAAAAATGAAATTATGGCATTTGCAGGTAAATGGATAGAGTTGGAAAATATTACGCTAAACAAATTAAGCCAATCCCCCAAAAAAACAAAGTCTAAATGTTTTCTCTGATATGCAGATGCTGATCCATAATGGGGGGAGGCTAGGGAAAAATGGAGGATCTTTGGAGTGGGCAGAGGGAAGTGAGGGGAAGGGAGGGGGTGTAGAGGTGGAAAAGATGGTAGAATGAGACGGACATTATTACCCTATGTACATGTATAATTGCATGAATGGTGTGACTCTGCATCATGTACATCCAGAAAAATGAGAAATTGTGCTTCTTTTATGTACAATGAGTTGAAATGCATTCTGCTATCATGTTTAAATAATGAGGACAAATTTTTTAAAAATAAGTAATGGGGATTAAAGCAGAACTTTCAAAACAAATTTTTTTTTTAATTTTGAAATAAAGTCTTGCTAAATTGCCAAGGCTGGCCTTGAACTTTCAATCCTCCTGTCTCAATCTCCCCAGTCATTGGGATTACAGGCATGTGCCACCACACACAGCTCAACAATGTATTTTTAAACTCAGAGTCGGTTAAGTGAAATAATAATCAGTGCAATAGTTAAATACAAATTTATTTAAAGACTGTTCACTCTGATATATAGATGCTAACTCTGATATACAGATGTTCACTCTGATATATAGAAGCTGGGCGGGGGCACTAGAAGTTCAATGGATTAGATAAAGGGGAATGAAAGGAAAGGAGGGGAAATAGGGAAAGGAAAGACAGTAGAAATTGGACATTATTTTCCTATGTTCATATATGAATAACCAAACAGCATAACTCCACATCATGTATAACAATAAAAATGGGAAATTATACTCCACATATGTGTAATATGTCAAAATACATTCCATTATCATGCATAACTAAAAAGAATAAAAAAAATTTTAAAAAGAATGAGAATTTTGAATAACTATTTAATAAAATAGCCAATAGACATTTAAAAATGTCTTTAATCTCATTAGATATCAAAGGTATAGATATTAAAACCACAATGGATGGGTATGGAAAGTTAAACCCACTGCATAGCCAACTAGAATGATTAACTTCAAAAGACTGACAATATTAAGTGTTAACAAGGATAGAGAATAGAATTTGTAATAGACAAATTCTAGAAAATCCCTAACATCTGCCTAAATATAGGTGATAAACTGCAGTATAGCCAAACAATGAAATACTCTATAGGAACAGTTTTCATAGCATGATCCTCACATCAACCACAACAGCACACCTGAGAACACACTGAATAAAGAGGTAGGGGCAACAATTTTACTCCAACATGTAATTTAATACATGCAAGAATTTTAATAATCACTGATCTCCAACAAAGAAATTAATGAAAACTTGGGCATGGTAGTGCATACCAGTAATCCCAGCCACTCAGGATTACTAAATTACACTCCAGAACAACAACAAAAAAGGAAGGGCTCGGAGAATAGCTTAGCTCAATGGTGGAGTACATACATGGCACACACAAAGGCCCTGGGTTCAATCCCCAGCACCAAAAACAAAAGAAAATGTGGGGCTGGGATTGTGGCTCAGTGGTACAGTGCTCGCCTAGCACGTGCAAGGTCCTGGGTTCGACCCTCAGCACCACATAAAAATAAATAAATAAAATAAAGTACTGTGTCCAACTACAATTAAAAAATATATATTTAATAAAAATTAAAAAGAAAATGTAAATATATTTAAATATCAGTATAAACATTTGAATACAAGATTAGCAAACATGATTATCCACTGGTATATTAGAATAATGTAATACACCATGACCAAATGAACTTCTAAAAAAAAAAATGCAAGGTCACTAACTGAAAATGAAATTTACCATACTAGCACAAATGGGAGAAAACACATTACTTCCATAAATGCTGAAAAAGCACTTAACAAAATCAGCAATTATGCTTGATTTGAAGAAATAAAAATTTCTTGGAGGGATCAGAATATAACTCAGAATAAAGAATACTGAGTTATTACTGTCAATGTACAAAGAATCTACACAATAATTTGGGGAAGAGAAGAAATTATACACAGCAAAAATAAACGGAATTATTTCAAAAGCATTCAAAACACCCTCCTCCACCTCCCATAAATGCTATTTGTCACTGGTATTTTCCATGAAGTTCAGTTATAAAAGTTCCCCTGAAAATAATATAAGCAAAAGAATTATTTGAAGGCCAGGCACAGTGGCACACGACTGTAGTCCTAGCAATTTGGGAGTTCAAAGCAGGAGGATGTCAAGATGAAGGCCAACCTTAGCAACTTAACAAGGCCCTAAACTATTTGGCAAGAACTTGTCTTAAAATAAAAAATAAAAAGGATGGGGTAAGCACCCCTGTGTTCGATCCCAGGTGCCAAAAACTAAAATAAATAAAAATTTAAAAATAAAAATAAATACACCTTTTTCTTTAAATAAAAGTTGTGAGTTAAATGTCCTTTACATACATATAGGTAACCAAACCTAACAGCCAGTTCAACTGAAGAATCCTAGACACAATCCTCTAAAGATGCAAAAAGACCAACATAACCATCACTACCATTCTAGTTGACAATACAAAGTAAAAGACAATACTAAGTAAACCTTTCTTAAAATTTACAATATGGCCAGGCATGATGGCTCATGCCTGTGATCCCAGCATCTCAGGAGGCAGAGGCAGAGGATCACAAATTCAAACCCAATCTCAGCAACTTAGGCCCTAAGCAACCCAGCTAAACTCAGTCTCTAATAAAACACAAAATAAATAAAACACACACAAAAAAAGGGCTGGGGATGTGGCTCAGTGGTTAAGCACCCTTTCAATCAAGAAAGGAAGGAAGGACGGAAGGACAGACAGAAGAATGGACAGAAGGAAGGAAGAAAATGACAGCTCTAAATGACATAACTATATGAAATGATTTCCAAAATATGAGTGACAAAAGTAAGATGTAACATAGTGTGCTACCATGTGCTTAAAAATTGAATATACAGCGAGGCATAGTGGTGTAAACCTGTAATCCCAGCGGTTCAGAAAGCTAAGCAAGAGGATCTCAAATTCAAAGCCAGTGTCAGCAACTTAGCCTCAAAATAAAATATTTTTAAAAGGCCCAACAGCTCAAGAGGCTGAGGAGGAGAATTGCAAAGTTCAAGTCCAGCATCAGCAACTTAACAAGGCCCTAAGCAAGTCAGCAAGACCCTGTCTCAAAATAAAATATAGAAAAGTGGTTAAGCGCTGCTGGGTTCAATTTCTTGTAGCAAAAAAAAACATATATTTCACACAGAGCACACATATCTAGAAATTTCCACGTGAACCTTACACAGGATGCCTCTGGGGAGTGAAACTGTGTGCCACAAAGGTATGTGAAGGATACTGCACAAAATTTATACCATAAGCATTTCTAAATTCTAGCAAAGAGAGGGAAACATAGAAAAAGAAAAATTAGGACAAAGCACCAAACAGTGACAAAAGTAAGATGTAACATAGTGTGCTACCATGTGCTTAAAAAAATGAATATACAGAAACATTTATTAGTCCTCTAAATTGATAAAACAAATATCAAAGGTATCAAATCAATAAAGATAATATGTGCTATAAAAAATATAAAAAACTAAAATATCAGAGCTGGAATTGTGGCTCAGTGGTAGAACACTCAGCTAACATGTCACATAAATAATAAATAAATACCAGAGGAAACAGCTAGCTTATATTACATCTAAATTTTAAACATCCTATTTCAAATAACAACCAAAATTAAATCAGAAAGACAGACTAAGGAATTCCAAATTATAACTGTCAATATATAAAGAACCTACACAATAATCTGGAAAAGAGAGGAAATTATACAGCAAAAATAAAAGGAATTATTTCAAAAGCATTCAAAACACCCCCCTCCACCTCCCATAAATGCTATTTGTCACTGGTATTTGCATGAAGTACAGTTATAAAGTTCCCCTGAAAATAATATAAGCAAAAGTACCTGAGGGAACCTCTTGCACCTCCATCCAAGGCTCCTCTCCTTGCTCCAACTGAGTAATTAGTTTGGGTTTGGAAGAGAGAAGCCCTATTCATAGAGAAAGAAAAGCAAACTGACCATGGTTATGAGCCCAAGGAATCATCCCAGACCTCAATATAAACTGGAAGGTCTAAAGGGTCAGGGAAGCCTAGAAGATAGTTTTAAGCATGCCTAAGTCATGTAGTAACATAACTAGAGGAGGTAAAGTCAATTAGAACTGGGTCCTTCTTATAGATGAGAAACTCCTATATTTGGAGGCAGATAAGTTTTAACATGAAAAGTCAGAGAAATGAGCTAGTCTGAACAACAATGTTATCCATCTTAAATTCTATGACTCTGATCTCCCTGAGGAGTGGAAGGACTCCAGCATCTAAGCCCATGTTTTGTTTTGTTTTGTTTTGTTAAGTCATTTAAGATTTTTTAATATCCCACACCATGTACCACACCATGAAAACACAAAGTTGTCCAGTAAACCAATTCTGAGTTCAGAAGAAAGATATCCTTACCCACAGACACCAGATTCCCATAGTTCTCCATCACCACATCCCTGTACAGGGCCTGCTGGACAGCATCCAGGTGTCTCCACTCCAGCCGGGTAAAGGTCACAGTGACATCCCCAAATGTCAATGACTCCTGCAAAACAAAACCCAATTCTGCTCATCTAGGAACCACTGTTTACATCTCACCCCTGAGGCCTAAACCAGGATGACTTCACTAGAAAAGGAAAGCAAGAGGTTCAAGGCCAGCTTCTGGTAATTCAGACTGTGTCCTGGGAATCAGGAAGCTAGAAAACTGGGAGGGGTGGCTATAACACTCACCATGGGATCTTCCAACATGACAATCATGCTTTGGGGGGCCTGGCCTTTACTCATTTCTCCCTTCATTGATGATTGCTTCTGTTGCCTCTTCTTTTTTCTCCATTACAGTCTTTACCCAGAGCCTTGCTTCATTTTCCATCCTGTAATTTCTCATTACCTGACAGGAGAGGCTTGTATTTACTGTCAGTAACCTCTCAGATGTGAGTTCCATGGGGGTGAGGATTTCCTGGATCACTGCTGGCTCCCTAGCCTAAAACACTGCCCAACACAGAAGTGTTTAGGATTTGTTCAAACAACAAATGAATAAACTGAAAGACATGGAAAATGATACTGGATTTCTCTTCAAAATTTACAGGAAGCATGGTCTGACTCTGGGGAAGAATTTTTTAAAAGAGAGAAAAAACTGTTTTCCAAACCAGTAACTCAATATACACTAAGATACAGTGCCAAGTTCTAAGACATATATCATGACTCTGAATTTTCCCAATTGTATAGAGTACTACTATATATATTTTGTTTTGAGGTTTTGTTCTTCTTTTGTTATGGAGAGATTGCAATAAATCACTGAGTAGATCTTAAAGCAGGAGAAGGAACCATCTTTATTCACCAGTTGGCGGTCTGGATCCACCAGCTGGCGGGCTAAGGGGCAGACTGCAAGTCTACACACCCTTTGACATCCTTCCAGAGTTTGAGTACACCTTTTATAGTTCAAAATCATATTAATCATAAGTGGCTGTCGCTATGGTTCAAAAACCATAAATAAACGTCATGAGATCTAAAAATCATAAGTAGAAGGAGAAGTCAAAACGACCCTAGTTAAGTACAAGTTAAAGAACGGTTACTAAGGCCTAGACAATCATTCTCTGACAGGGTACATTGTTCCACAAAAATGGGAACAAAAACGAAAACAATTTTACATTGTATAAGAATTGCCATTTTGCTTGCCAAACATGCTATGTTAAACAACTGTTGATAGGTAAAGAGGTGGGGTGTTCCCATGGGAGAAGCATTCCTTACATGACATTGAGTCTTATGGCAAAATGGAGTCTGTTTAGTCATTGCCCATACAGCCTAGCCCATAACAATTTGGAGGTACTGAGAATGAAACCCATAACCTTATGCAGGAAATTCAAGAGAGTTGCCTTTCTTTCATGAATGATTCACCAATCATTCACCAATAGCCTAAGTGCTAAATATGTCTACTTTCCATTTTCTCTAAGTCTGCAACTACTTTTCCATTTCCAGCACTGTAGAAGGCAAGTGCAGCAATAATCTGGTGATTGACTATGTAAAGGAGAAGAAAATAAAGGAATAACAATAGAGAGAAATTGTATTGGCTCAAGCAGCTTGGCCCATACACAGAGCACTGCATCTTCAGGTCAACTGGGCATAAACCTCACCTCAGTGAAATGCACTGGGATCTCCTAGGAAAAGGAAAATGCAACTTGCCTGGATCTGGGGTCTTGGTAGTCTTAGCGCCATCTGTCTCTTCCAAGTAATGGCAGGGAATCCTGCGTTAGCCAATCTGAGAAAGAAGAAAGCAGCATGAAAAAGTCGTTCTAAGTCCTTCAGAAGAAAGGAAAAGGACCAGCCCACAACCGGCCCTATTCCCTACCAAAACAGGGGACCAGGTGGGTGAGGTAAGTAAAAAAGAACACGACAGAGCTTCATGCTAAACACCTTTGCTAGCACAGGTGGGCAGTCTGGTCAGAAGCTTAAGTCCTGGCGGGAGCAAGCCTCACGCAGCAGAACCTCTACGATGGGGCCTGGCCCACACATGCCGGCCCTTCCCAACCCGCCTCTCTCCCCTACCTGCCCCAGGAAAAGGAAGGGCGCACCCGCCAACCCCGGCGGGGATCAGGACCCCGGCTTCTCTAGGCGGCCAGACTCTGGAACTGAACGATGAGAGACGACTACCACCCGAGCTGCGCGATTGGGTGAAAGCCTTGGCGCGCCTTCCCTAGGCCTGTGGGGCTGGGAGGTGGGGGAATCGGAAATGGCCGCGGAGGCCTCTGGGAAATGTAGTCTAAGTCAGAAGTCTTAGTTTCCTCATCCCAAACCAGATTGGCATCAGCCCCTGGAGCTTTGAAAAATGGAGGACAGGAAATGTAGCTCAGTGGTGGAGCGTTCACCTAGTATGGGTGAGGCCCTAGGTTTGGTCCCTAGCGCCACAAAGAACGTTAAACTATTAAAAAATAAGTAAATAAAGGTCCCAGCTGGAGATTCTGAACTAATTGATCTGGGTGATGCACTGGCATTATCATCATTATCATCATCATCATCAGTAGTAATATATATTAATTGTGCGAATTAATAGGACTCACTGTGATATTTCTGAAGCCAGAATTAAAAACAGGCAGTCAGTGTAGATAGGCAATCCTGTCAGATGGAGAAAATAGAGGCCAGTTTGGATCCAGGAAGTTGGAGACTGCCCCTGAGGAATTGAAATGTTAATGCCTTCAGGAGCCCTGCCTCCACTCTTATCAAGATAGCCTGCCCCTGCTCCAATCTGTTGCTAAGGTAACCTGCCCCAGAAATTGTCCCTTCCTACAGGGAGTTATAAAAGTTGTAAATTAGTGTATCCTTGATTGCTTCCTGCGTGGATCACTCCATTCTTGTGACCAAGCCAGAATGTGCAGACATGTCACTCAGAGTAATAGGTATGAGTTTACTGAAGGTATAGGAAAGTGAAAGTGGACACTCTCTAGGGAGAGAGTGGGTCCTCTGAGACACGAGAGGGACAAAGTGCCTGTCCTGCAATCCAGTTTATTGAGGATTCCAGAGAAGTTTCCAGAGAGCTTTATCCATGTTCACCTCTTGACTTTTGACTGACAGCAAAATCACATCAGATTTTCAAGTCCCCACTGCCATGCTAACTCTAGGTTACTTTGGCCCATGCTGACTGATTCTAATTGGGTGTGTGTGTGTGTGTGTGTGTGTGTGTGATGGTGGTGGTGCTGGGGATTGAACCCAAAGCTTTGAGCATTCTAGGTAAGCACTCTACCAACTGGTCAGAAGCTCAATGTCCAGGCTGGTGCAAGCCTTAGGCTGCACAACTCCTGTGTTAAGGCCCAGCCCACACACGCTGGCCCAAGTCTATCCCCAGCCCCTAAATGGATTCTTAAGCACACATTTCTACAGATTTTATGGTTAGGAGAAACTATTCTTATCTCCCAGAGTTTCAGGAACTGTTCGTAAAAGTCCCCTGAGTTCCTCCCATGGACATTATCCTGGGCCACAATTTCTCCTGCAGTTAACAGGTAGTTTGCTGAGGAATGCGATATATCCTGTCCATTTAGGCCAGGCAGAGAGCTGTGGGTAAATATCTTCTTGGAAAGGAAAGCATGTGGGGGTCAGCACAGTGGGCCCATTTTATAGAATTATTCTCTTAACCCTGTGGCTCCACCAGTCACATCTGTCTGTCCCACAACACCACCTATCGATATAAACCTAGCTAAGAAAAATATAATGTTTTGGGCTGGGGATGTGGCTCAAGCTATAGCGCCCTTGCCTAGCATGCATGCTGCCCGGGTTCGATCCTCAGCACCACATACAAACAAAGATGTTGTGTCTGCCGAAAACTAAGAAATAAATATTAAAAAATTCTCTCTCTCTCTCTCTCTCTCAAAAAAAAAAAGAAAAATATAATGTTTTACTGTATCTGTCTAGTCCTTACTATTGTACAATCTTGCAGTTGGAGTTGGTCTGTCAGGGATACAAAAATTGAAAGGAAATCTATGTGTACAGGCATGAATCCAATTGCACAATAAGGAGTCTGAACAGTCTACAACTAAATTGAGGGTACAAAAAGGTGCCAGCTCTCATGTGCTAGAATAGCAGGACACCAAAAGAAAGGTTTGTGTTTTTGTTTTTTAATTTCTTTAATCCTTTCAATCAAGTGTTGACCTTCTGGAGTACTGCTTCTCAGCCAGGCCTCAGGAAGCTGCAAATCATCCTGCTGTGTGTCAGGGACATAGTCCTGGAAAAATTAAAAGAAAAAAAATCCCAGGAAAGCTGCCTGGTCTTTAGAGAAATGGGTAAAAAGGACCTGGCCTTCACCCTGCCTTCCAGCCACTCTTTGCCCATGGGAATAAAATTTGAGTTTGAAAAAGGAACACAGTTCACTGCTTCTGCTGACAAATGAAATCTACATGGGCTGTGGGTGAAGGAGATGGAAAATGACACCCCCAGGACAAAGAAATGACAATCCCCAAAAACTGTATGACCAGGAGGAAGGGGATGAGCAAGCAGTCATTAATCCACTCCTTGTAAACTCTTTCCCAGTAACAGTGGGCCCCCTGGGGAAAGAAAGTAAACTTTCATCCCTTCCTGGGTTCATCCCTGAAAGGAAAGCTAGGAACCATGAAAGAAGGAGACCAGGCAGAGATACACAAGAGAGTTTGTAAGAGCTGACAAATAAAGTCACATCTCTCCATAGATGGAGAGAGGCAATACGGGCAGGGATTAGAGCAGGGCGGGTTCTAATGTGGGTGGTTAAGTGTGAGTTGGTATGAGGGAGTAGTGAGCCTTTCTCAGAAAGGCCCTTGGACAGGAAAGAGAAACTTTTTCTTAAGATGGTGGCTGTCACTTAAGATGGCCATCCAGATGCTAAGCAAGGACCTTATAATCCCCAGCATCTCCACCAAAAGCAAATATTCATCCCTTCCCAACCACAATTGGTCCTGAAGGGAGGAGGCTGATACTGAAACTCTGGGCTCTGGACTTTTATTCTTTCCCATGAGTCTGGAAGAAGAGCAAATAGTGAAGCTCTGGGTAACAGAGGAAGAAGATAAACAGTGAATTCTGGCCAAGTTCAGAGCTTTTCCCAGTGACATTGAGTTTCAGGCTTTTTACAACTTCTTTCCCGACTGTCCAAACCAACATGTCCTACTTCAGTCTCCAATAATTAAACTACCCTCATTGTAAACTATAAAACTCAAGACTCCATCTGTAACCAGCAGCCATTTTTGTGCCCAGAAAATGAGTCTAATTGATTGACTCCACTCTGGAATAAAGGAAAGCTTGCTGATCCGTTTGAGGTCTGCTTCTGTCCTGGTTATTTGTATTTTCATAATGGTGCTGAAACTATGTGGTTATTTTTGCTTATCGGAGGCCTCAGTGATTTCTTTCTGGGTTCTTATGGATTCAAATAAATCCACAGATGGTGGCAGAAGACAAAAATGAAAGAAATAAAGTTTGTTTTGAATGAGAGAAGAAAAGATGAAACTCCCTGTGCTTCTAGGAGAAAACTGGTAGAAAGTTTTCCACTTGAGTATACTATCTGGGGACTTAAGATTCTAGAAAAAGGCATTGGTCAGAGTCCCTGCTAAACAGACATTAAAAAGCATTGAGGCTAATTGCTGGAATCTATGTTGTCAAAAGCTCAGTCCTTGTCCCTGATGCCAATCTAATAATGAGGACACAGTTTTGAGAAAAAAAAAAAAGAAAAAATATTTATTGTTTTGCTAGTAAAGGAGAAACACAGGGTACTCCTGTCCCAAAGGCTATGATTTTGCCCATCAGTAGGAATAGGGGGCTTTTAAAGAGGTGATTCAGAGAAAATGGATTAGGGAGTAGATCAGAAAGGAGAAGATGGAGCAGGGAGGTTAGGGAAAGGAAGATCAGGAAGGAGAAGATCAGGGAGAAGAAGGTTAGGAAAAAGAAAAAATATGTAAATTTCAAAGCCGCAGGGACATAGTCAAAGCATCATGCTGTATAGATAGATGTTGGGAAGGTACTAAGGCTCTTGGCTTGGCCCATGACCTTCTATTTGGCTGTGTATTTTTAGTTCTTAAATCTGAATTTTTTTGTAACCTGTATGCAAAAATAACCAACACAGTATTTGCACCATAATGAAAATTCAAATAACCAGGACAGAAGAACTCAAATGGATCAGAAAGCATTTCTTTTATTCTGCAATGAAGCCAAACAATCAGGCACGTGAAGGCTCTTTTTCTGGGTACAGAAATTGCCCCCAGATTATAGGAGTCTGAGTTTTACAGTTTACAACGAGGGTGACTTGATCTTTGGAGACTGCAGATGTGCTGTTCAGACAGTCAGGGACCTAGGTGTATAGATTAAAATTTTAATTCAGGAAGGCAGTTGTAAAAAGTTTAAAACTCATTATCATTGGGAAGAGCTCAGAACATACTGTTCACTGTTTATCTTCCTGCCTCTCACACCCATTGTTACCCAGAGCTTCATTGTTTGCTCTTCTCCTTCCTGGGCTCCTTGACAATGGGAAAACATAAAATTCTAGGGCCCAGTGTTTCAGTATTAGCCTTTTCCCATTGTGGTTGGGAAGGGATGAGTGTTTGTTTTGGTAGTATCGTTGGGTATTGGGAGACTCCCCCTGAAGTTAAGTTTCTGTCTCCCTAGAACATCACATAATCCCTTACCCCTCCCCCTCCTCTCCCAAGGGTGCCAAGCTGAAGAGTGCCAAATTCAAAGGTTTTTCTCCACCAATCTCCACAGGACACAGTGTCCACTAGCCTTTCCTGAGTCACCCTGCCAATCAGCACCCGCCACGTCGCCTAGGCAACACTTCTTCAGCCCAAGCTTGCAAGCTCACGCTCTCTGCCACCTCCTCTCTTCCTCTCTGCTTTCTTACTCTTCTTTCTCTCCTCTCTCTGCTCTCTTTATTTCTGTTCTCCTCCTCTCCTGTCTCTGCTCTCTGCCTCTCCTTTCCTTCCCCTTCGGGCAGCCCCCCACCAAAATCTCTTGTTGAATCTCTGTCTCGGGTGAGTCACTTGCCTTTCAGTATTGGCATCAGATCAATATTGGCATCAGGTTCACCATTTTAGGTTGGGAGCCAGTTTATCTAGAGGCTCCAAAGTTTCTATTCTGAGGCAATGCTGTTTAACTTCCCGTAAGAATGTATGCCTGCTAAACAGTCAACCCCACCCCAGTTTAGGACACAACTTCTTGGCAGCTTATGA